CCCTTAAGAAGGTTGTCACGCCATCTATCATTGGGAAGAGCCACCCGGTTCGCACAACAGACTACCCTTGGAAAGAACCGTGGCATTAAGAAAACCAAGGGCTTATTGAAAACACTAAAACCGAAACAAAAGGCTACGAGCCTCACTACTAGGCTGAAAACGAAAAATTTAAACGAAAATAGAGAAACCGAATGAATATGTACAATGGGGAGTAGAATATACAACGGGGTGAATATATACATAAAAGTCTAAAAGTAGCCAAAGTTAAAAGTTATATACAGGCCAACTATTTAAAAATCAAAGACAATCCAAAACATAGACTAGAAATGAAATAAATATATACAGTCATCCAATATATCAGAATCAAAATGGTAAGGCGCACCCCCACGAATAAAAGCTGGCATTGTCCCCAATGCCAACTACTAAGATAAGCTCAAAAAATAGAGTAAAAGGATATAGAGAGGCCCCTCAAGCCTAGTCCACATGCGTGGGGTCTCCTGTCGTCCCTGGATCCTCTGTAGTAGCCGGGACCTCAGACTGGTCTACGACCTGCTGCTGTTGTGCTGCTGGGACATGAGCTAGATCAAGGACTACCGGTGGAACACTGGATGTACCCTCATGAACCTGGGCCACCTCTATCACAACTCTCTAGTGCTAGGGAGTTTCCTCTTCTTCCTCGGCCTGGGAGTCTCCTCCTGCTGCGGCTGAACTGCTGCTGGATCTACAGTTGGCTCCTCGAAAAGTAAGTCAAGTGGCATCTGATCCGCCAAAAGCTTATCCACATCCTCCCTCAACTTCATCACTGACTCCTTGGAGGCCTTTTGCTTCCTCAATTTCCTGTGCTCCCTAGCTAGTTTACCTAATGTTGTGTTGTGTGCTCCAACTGCCTTAGCCAAGGCATTTTGTGTCTCCATCATCTTTTCCTGGTTGGCCAGGATCTTCTTCAGTGTCTCCTCAATAGAAGGAGGGATCTCAACTGTGGAGGGGGCTGACTGTGCCTGAACTACTGTGGCCAAGTTTGACAACTTGGATGTCGCAGCTGACATCTAGTTGTTTAAACTGGCTAGAGACTGAGCAAGCTGGTGGGCAGTGAACCTGTGGGTCTTCGATGAAGGGACATCCGGGTCTGCTGCAGTAGATGGACCAGCAATAGAAGAAGGGCCCTGAGGCAATGTCTCACTGGTAGCAGGGATGGTGGAAGGCTCAGTGGACTGCTCAATAACCGCTGGCTCCTCAGACTGGCCAGGTGCGGTGGAAGTGGATGCTTGAGGCTTTTTGGACCTCTTTGGGTTGTTGGGACCCAACTGACTGTACCATGAGTAGGGGGCCACTGGATCTACCTGGACATCAAATCTCTTCTTCTTTACCTTCAATTCTCTGAAGTACAGGGAAAGAGTGTTTGGGAAAGGGTATTTTGTGTTGGTCTCCTGCCCTACCGTAGAAATCACTCTTGACATGATGTTGCCCACATTCAGAGGAAAACCAGCCATAATAGAAGCCACTAACACTGCACGAGGAATAGGAACTGTGTGATCATGAGTGGAGGGGTCAAGCCTACTACACACGAAGGTCAACCACCCCTTTGCTTCAAAACTTAACGTGTTTCTCAGAATCTTCTCTCCTGCTTTCAACCAAACTGGGATAGTGCCCAGGGCTGCCAAGTGCTGGGCCAACCACGGGCGAACCACTTCTTTCATTGCCATCTTTTCTAAGTATTGGGTTTCGTCCTCTTCGCTGAACCCCAAAAATTCGTTCAGAGACTTCCCATCAAACATCACCACTTTGTCCCTCACTTGTGTCACCTTTGAATCTTTCACTACATGATAAACATTACAGTAAAATTCTTTCACCATATGTTCATTTGCGACTATGCAACGTTCCTTGAAGAACCCCCAACCCTCTCTAGTACGGAATTGTGCTTGCACATGTGGGTTTAGAGGAAGAAGATCAGAATCAATAAATTACCTCTCCGGAATCAATTTTCTTTTGGGCCACCACTCTCCAAATCTGTGGAAGGCTATTTCACTTACAAATCTATCAGCCCATGCTTCCGGTTTCCTTGTTCTCTCAACACCACAAACTTGGGGCTCACCCCCCTCGCCGTATCCTACACTCTCCCCAGATAATGAAGCTGTGGGGGAGGTGGAGTATTGTGCCTCACTTCTATCTTCGGACTCATCAGACGAGTCCAAAACTACATTCACCGGTTTTTTGAGGCTTTTATCAGCTGGTCCCTTGGAGGTAGGTGAAGCTGAGGGAGAGTCATGCAATTGGAGCGAGAGAGACATGTGAGTTGGAGCAGATTCAGAAGTAATACTCCGGGATGGGGCATACTCACTCCCCGAAGAATGGGAGGCAGCTCTATCAGCTTCCCGTATTATCTTGCGGGTCTTTTTTATATTCTCCCGAGTCTGGGGAGTGAGTTTAACAACCCGCTTCC